TATATATATATATATAAAATAATAGTATGATTTGTTGTACATATTTTTTTAAATAATTTTACAATTTAATTTTTAAATAATAATAAAAATATTAAAAATTAATTAATCTTACAAATACAAGACTTGAACCTGCAACTTTAAAATTTGAGGACTAAATGTAATATCAATTTGATCAAACAAATGGTTATAATTTTTTAAATATTTTTATTAAATAAAATATATTATTGTACATATTCTTTAGATAATTTTACCTTTAAATTTTTAAATATTAAATTCAAGAACATCAAATTTGAGAACCAAATTTAACATCAGTTGGTCTAATAAATATTAATAGTTCTTGATAACATTCTTATTAAGTAAAATATAGATGCACCAAATATTTCGAACCAACTATATCTCATAATCTTTTATTCAAGGAATTTTTCGAGTTGATTTTTTTTTCTATTTAATTCTCACAATTTAATCATATTAATTTCTTGATACTCTATAAATAGGAAACCTAAAATAAAATTGTACATTTTAAACTGTGTAGATCCACTTTGAAGTATGATGTCGAGGAAAGAGAGAAAATTTGAGTTAGAATATGTTGATAGTGTGCTTGGATGAGGAATTATAAATTCAAGGAATTTTAAATTATTGGTATTTGAATTATTTTGATTTTAATTTCTATCACTTTTAAAATATTTTGTTTGGGTAAGTCAATTCAAATTTCTTAAATTTTAAATTGTTAGGTTGAATATGATAATTTGATTTCACCATAGTAAAATTGATTTTAAAAATATATTTATATGTTGAGACTTTTAAATTAAATTTTATAAAAATAAATATTAATCCATTTTTAAGTATTTAATAATTTTAAAAATTAATATTAGATAATATTTAATAATTTTAAAAATATTTTTGAATATTCAATAATTAAAAGAATGAAGAGATAAGTTAAAATATATAGCTGAAACAAGAAAAACAAATATGAGAAATTTCAAATTCTTACTTTTTTGGAAGAATTTGAAATTCTACTATTTTAAGAAATTTCACAAATACTTGAATTTTAATTTTTTTGTAAATTTCTCATCCAAACAAAACATTTCATCTCAAAGAATTTGAAAATTTTCAAATAGATGAATTACCCTATATAAATTTCCCATCCAAACACACCATGAGACATATTTTTAAAGGAATTATTTTCTTAATAAGCTAATATAAATAATTAGGTAACTATTAATTCTATTTTTAAAAATATTTTTCGTGAATAAAATTACTTTTTAAAGAGTTTAGAAAATATTTTACGTGCTTCCAAATTGGACCTTTTTCCCCCTCTTGTTAGGATATATAAAGAAATTGAAAATCATGAAATTTAAGATCTCTCTATTAATTATGTTATTAGTGATTATGAGTGATTAATATTTTTTTAAATTACAGAATTATTTTTTTAAAATTTAAAAAATCAAAATAATAATTTTATATTTTTAAGAATTAAAAACACATATTTTAAATTTAAAATATACATAAATTAAAGATCTAAAGACATTATTAAGTCATTTTATTATGTATGAGTGCGAGAAAGTATTATATGACTAAGATATCATCATAAGAGCATCTACAATGAGAATTATTTATAAGCAACTCTCATCCACTTTAAATGGATCCCACACTGCCATGTTACTCATAAGCAACTTATATTACATTTTTATAATTTTTACTCTAATAAAAGTTGCTTATAAGCACCTCTACTTTTTAATCACTCATACTTCATTTTTAATAAATTTTAAAAAATTTAATTATTATAGTTATTAGCATCGGTAAAAGAAAGAAATATTAAATTATTTTTTTATTCTTAAACAATCTTCTCTTATATAAGTAACGGTGCTTAAATTTTAACAATTTGACTTGTGATGCCAGCATGCTCCAATGCAGATTTCTTATAAACAATAAGAACTTAAACTTAAGTACTAGATAAAAACCTATCATTGGAAATGCTTATAAACTATAGTACTTTGCTATTATTTTATTTTATTTTAACATTAGGCTGATTTAAGGAATTGAAGTTAGATTCCTTTTGTGAAGCATACACGCATTCTGAAATAATTAAGATTCCTAATGTAAGTTGGTGCGAGTGCCTATAACTATTTTAAAAATATTTTACTTAAAACATATGAGAGGCAAAATCATGAAAGCCATTGTGAGTCGCATTATTATTTTGAATAACATTATTTGAAAACAATTGTACCAAAATAAACAAGTTAAAATACATTCATTTATAATTTTAAGATTACATTATAATTTTGATTCATTTATTTTTGTCAATATGTAATTTTATCTTTAATTTTAAAATATAAAAATTTAGTTTATTTACTTTTAAAGATATAAAATTTCAATTTTATCATTAATTTGATATTTATTAATTATTAAAATTTAATATTAACCTATGATTTATCATAACTTAAGTAATATGATATTTAAATATAAAAAATTTAAGAAAATATAAAAAATATTTATATTTATTTTAATGAGTGTTATTTTATTTTATTAAATTTTACTTGTATATTTTTACTTTTTTTTTATCTCTAAATATTATATTATTAAATATCATATTACTTAAGTGATGGTATATTATGGATCAACATTAAAATTAATAGTTAACAAGTGTCAAATTAGTTATATGACCAAAATTGTTTATTCTTAAAATTACAAAGACTAAATGTCTTTGTTTAAATATAAAGAACTAAACATTTATTACAAAAAAATTATATAATGACACACACTCCATAGTAACACAATATGTGCCATTAAAAGTTATTTTTACCAATATAATAAGTATAATATGTTGGTATATTGTTAAAAAGTATGAGATAGAAATATAAACTATAATGACA